TCGCCAACAAAAAGAATTACTTGCGTAATCGCATTCCTTCAGACCAGTGATCGATCTGACTTAAGTAGCCCCAAGAAATACTTGGTTTAATTGAATATTTTAACCATTATTTACTTGGAGTTTATAATTATTACCTACCTTCTTGTCTGTTTATTAAAATGGAAATTGTATATTTGGAAAAGAATAATTTTCAAGTTGAATTTCAGTTCTGCAGGGTTCAACCGCTTGAATGCTCCAAAATCAAAGTTTTACACTTATCTGATTCAAATTTTTGCATTAGGAGCTCTGGAAATGGAGTTTTTTGTTCAAATTTCAGTTTCATTACATTCGTAAAGATTTTCGTGATTTCCCGATCTATTTTAATTCTAAGAAGATCAAAAATGAGCTTTCCTAATCGATTGAATGATCAAAAATCAAAGTTTTACATTTTTCTGGTCCAATTTTGGCATAAGGAGTATCAGGAATGGGATTTTTATGCTTTTTAGTTGAAATTTTAACTTCATTAGAGCTGGGAGAAAGACGTCACTATGCTTACATATTGTCACGGCTTTGGGTTGCCTTACAGAAATCTTGGGTTCGTTTCGTTTATTCCAAAAATCAATGTCCAATTAACACAGCAATAATTTATTCCACTTAACAATACACTCTGACACTAATTACTTTAATAACTAACTCAACAATTAAACTCTTACAACTCGCAATAATCACTATTTAAGTCGTATCACAGTCAAACTGAAACTTAACTTACAAACCAATGCCGGCCTTCTTATATATTCCTAAATCTATTCCTGTAAAATCTAGAATACACACGAAAATTTTATTTTCCCTATTAAACTAGAATAATTCGCTAGATTCTAGTATATTCAAGAGGGAATGCCAAAGATTCTTGACAGCCTGGCGAACGCCACAATATGTACAATGATTTCCATATTTGGCAATCACTGATCAATCAATCTCATGTATTCCCATCCCAAGAAGATTGCCAATGATTTTCAGATATTTTTGTATGATTACCAAATGATTTCCATTTTTTCTGGGGATTCCTATATCATTTCCAATTGATTACCTGATTTCCTTGATGATTTCCTACAATCATCCGATTTCCAGCTGATTTTGTCACGATGTCTAGTTGTTAAGCTTCGCATTGATATGATCAAAATAACAGTCTTTTCTCTTATAAAAACACGTTTTCACTGAAAAATTGGCACTTTCTGAATTTGCAACTTTTCCAAAAGTAAGCAACTTCTATTTTCATGGCATGGCTGTCTACGCCCACACCGATTTTGTTGTATAGGTATAATATAAAGTTGTTGAGCCCTGGATACCATGTGTTTACACTGCATAATATGGATCTAAAATAATGGATGTTTCTTTGATTTCACTAGGATTTTCTGATTCTGAATCAGTGACATCTTGAGTTAGGGTTTCACTGTCGGTTCCACTCGACAAACTTGTTTCTGATTCTGATTCAAATGTGCTATCATCTCTGCTTCTCGCCCTGCCTAATTTATTCTATTTTCCCTTTTCAAGTTCTTATTGTCTTGAATTCTCGACTTTTTCATTTGTGTCTTTCTCAGGGACTTTTCGATAATTACTCGATTGGCAAACGTCCTTCTCTGAAAATAACCAATTTGAAGTTGAGCCCTAATAATCTCTTAATTGTAGAGAATCGCAATTGCTAAACCCTGATGTGTGAAGAAATTCTGTGTCTTCTTTTGGCAAGTCGGATTCGAAAGAGGTTTCAAGATTGATGTTTTCATTTCTATGATCTACAACATTGTCATACTTTAGGTCTGTTCTCATCACAATCATAGTCAGCGCGAATTTTATTGGTTGAAAATAGTCAAAAAACTGGTTGTTGGCGATTTGCACCAATCAAAAACGCTCTGACTGGTTTGTGATTTCTGTGAGAACAGACCTAATAACCTTCATCTCGTTCTTTTCAAGTTCTAAACTCTTCGTAGTCTCGGGTTCAGTTAATGGCTCAATTATTGGGAAACTCGTTAGGATTTCAAATTCATTTAAAATTATCTGCATTCAAACTTAGTCCTAAAGGCAAATACCTACACAACTGACCGGTACGCTGTATCGTTAAAAATGTATGATATGCGATTTCTGGGTTAAAATGAGATGATATTCCCAGAGATTACCACATGATTCTCAGCGATTGCCAATGGATTCCTATGTGATTTCCATTGAGTCCTAGGAGATCCCTAGCGATTCCCTGGGACTCTCAAGGGATTTCCATGCATTACTACCTATGTGATTTCCAGAAAATGTGCAATGATTTCCACTAGTGGCTTAGAAGAGTAGTATCAACCTACAATTATTGTGAACTAACGAAAATCCTCTGACAATTTGAAAGATTAAATAAAGTGTGTTCGTGTTTATAAGTATCAGCCAATTTGAACTTTTCAAATATTATTAGAAAATCATGTCGAATGAGTGATTTTATAACAATTGCGTGATCCAATATCTATGTGGGTATAATTGACCATATAGATATCAATGTTAACAATTCAACTATCACGCACCATCTACTATTCTTTACTTTTAGCGAAATTGTTTAAATTATTATTGAGAACACCTATTTTTCTCCTTCTATATTCATGATAAATTGTGACATGATATAGGTAACTATTCGGACTCAATTATAGTGTCAAAATCGGTAATTTCTTATGACAAATATCGTGTTTTAAATTACAATTTTTTATTTTTTTACCACCATCTATAGGCGAATGATTCAACTTTCTCGTACTAGCATTTACTGGGTACTTATATTTTAGCAGAAAACTTCTTTGTGAAAGGCATCTTGGCATCATGACGAAGGTATTTAATACCAGTTTTGGTTTCCGATTCTTTCTCAGCCAGATAATCTTAACTTCTGAAGTTATTGAGAAGAGATTGACTCATTAAGAAACTGTAAGTATGGAAATGCATATTTAGCTCACAACTCACCTAAAACCAAAAATCCATTTTGTGCTATTTAATTTTATAACAAATAAAGACATTCATTTTCTCATAATCTCATATTGTATACCTAGCTAGAACTATTATCAGAAAATATCTGAAAACTAAGAATCCCAACAACAATAACTTTTATGCTTTTGCTATAGGTAGATAAGTAGGTATATACTTGTCGTTTTTCAACCAGGAAATAAAACCACAAACAAACTTTCATTCAATTTGTTACGGAAGCACAATTATTTCAAAAATAAGAGGGTACCTGCACGGGAGTACTAACCTGATAATTGGTGAGGTCATTACCGGAATCGTTAAAGGTAATCCGGTACCTACACAGCTCCGGAATCTAGATCGAACCACGCCTTTCGATTTTGTTTTCGCGAAAAGATAATTCATTTTGTTGTTAATAAATATAATGATTGCGTATTGTTTTAAACATCTTATACGGGATTCTTGTACGATTGTGAATAGCACGATGACTTTGTTTATTATGTATTTATTTGTTTATGTTTGGGAATGTATAAAAATTTTGTTTGGAAAGTTGCACATGAGTATAAAGTTTCCTCCTATGAGACCAAGGAACTACCACAGATACAATTATTATATAATTACCCTACAAAGTTATGTGATACTTTGTATCATTTTCATTTTTCGAAATTTTCCAAATTAACTTTTGTCGGCTTTTTTAAATTTGTATTTCACTGTTTTTTTTTTTAGAATTCTCTTTTTGTTGTGTTGCCTCTCTATCATGTTTAGTGACTATTTCCTTTCCTTTATCGTCTTATTTTTCACTGTCATCGTCTGATGTTTCTTTCTTTCTTTCAAACTGAGCTGTTAAACACTAACAAGAAAAAGCTCAGTGGTCAACTGAGTCTCAGCCTTCATTAGAATCTCAGACGATGTTTTACAGACCTTAGAAAACGATAAGAGCCATATGGTATCTAGATCATCCACTATAAGTCACTCACCAATTTCTGGCCAAGAATTCTCGCCTTTGGTTCAAAGTTTGCTTCATCAGAGAGAATCGTCAAACAGCAAACAAGCGTGTTAACTCAACCAAAGATAATCCTACTTCGGAGTAGGATTATCTTTGACTCAACTAATCCACTGCCTTAAAACATTTAGTATACACCACCTTTGTTGTCAACTCCTCAAACTAACTCAGACGACTCTGAAACCCCTTACAAACGTACTAGAGGACTCTCTCATAAAGCGCCAAATAATTTGAAACCTCCTCTAAATTTTTTTTTAACCAATTTGCTAGTTTGGAATCGCTCCCAGACAATTCAGTACACCCATATCATCCATTAGTTCAAAATAATGGGAAAGCGAGTTCTATAGTCATCAACATTGGCCACAGGCGGAAAATATTGAAGCTCCGATCATCAATATTTGATGGAAACTGTCTGAAGTTTACTCAGCCGAAGGGATCAAGGAAATGACACTCTTCCACTACCAGGGTTCCTGGTCAGCTGGAACAAAATGAAATTAGAACTGATCAACAATATTGCTCGGGTTTAGGAGAATGGTTTTGGGATAAAATGAAAGTCGACTTGATAACTGTAATCAAATTGAGGTTTTTTATTCACAGAAATACATTAATTTGCTTTTAGGTTCCTCTCAGTTTGATTTAAATGGTCCATCAGAAGATCTCCATCGCATGATTCCAGGAGAATCCAGCTCACCAGAAACCGCCTTAAGACAACCTCACGTTGAAGCACCCAAATGAATCGCAACATTTTCGTCAGAGAATCCAATCTTTTTCTAGTAAAGGACTACAATAATCTTCAATATTTTAGTTCCAGAGATACAAATCCATTGAGAGCAAGAAGAAAAAAGTTTATAATTTTTTCAACTTTTCCTCTACATTATTTTCAAACATTTCCTACTTTCATAATAGTGATGACATTTAAACTATAATATTCACTGACCTACAGCGACATTAAGCCCCTATTGGCAAACAACAAACACAAAAGAAGAAAATATAATATTTTCGTGCCAATTTCCAAGCAGGTTCTAGTATGCATTAAGTTCCGCAATACTCCCGCACTATTTACTTTTAAGAACAGACAAAATAAGTACCACAACGTGTAGTAGGAACGATGGTTCTTTAGGGAGTGCTGGTTGCCAGGGTCGCACTCGCCAAGGTTGGTACCGGCGGTATAAAACCTAATCCACGGGGTACTGGGGGGCAGTAGTTGGTGATTAGTTGCTGTTAGGGCATTGTTAATTTAAAAAAAAAATCAAAATGAAATTTTTTGTGAGTATAGAATTTGTTTTATTTTTTTGGTAATTGGCAATTTTTAAGCAGAATTTTTTAGTTACTGAAAAACAAAAAACCTTCTACAGATGGTGGTGGTGGTTTCTGGTTCGACATTCTTATTTGGGTGATTTACATCAAAATATTTACCCTAGTGAGTACCTATTTTGGATTGGATCAGAATTCTTTCAAAATTTTTTTGGGTTTTTGTTTGATCTTTGATTTCAAATATTGGAATTTGTAGTTTGTGTTAGTGTGCCTCTTTCATTCTTTTACTTCCTATCATAATAAGAATTCAAATTCAAATAGTCGTATTCTGACTATAACTACAACTGAATTCCTTGTTTAGGTTCTCAAATAAAATATTAATTGCGAGCAACATGCAACAGTCCCATGATCTACGTAAATAACTAGTTTCACTTTTCTTGGACTCCATCTTCAGTTAGTATTGTTCATTAAACTTTAATGGATAAACTGGGTCTATCGACTACATTCTTTTATTAGCAGCAAAACTTGAAATAGTTCCAATTGGATCTGATTACGTAACATGATTTCGATCCCTAGTGCTTTATGACCAACCTTGCCTTAACTTTTTGGAATATTCATATTGTATTTCCATGTGTATCTTGATGTGGACTAATTACACTTTTCTATACCATCAGGCACTTGTATCTTAATGTAAGATTTAAACTTCCAGAAAAATGCGAATTTTTAATCGGAAGTTTTTTCTGTATTTCTTGACAGCGCTGGTTTTGAAAAAAAAAAATATAACAATATTTATTGTTCATAGGGATTGATAAAAATACAATTTTTCTCAAATTCCTCGGAAATCAACAAAATCCTTGTCGACAAAAACCTCAAAATTCCTACTTTTTTTGAGGCTTGAAAGAGAAATTTGTGATTTTCTGAAATTCTGAGATGAAGGATGTTTTTAGTTGAAATTTAAAATGCTTCATCAATAAAAACCTTGAAGAGAAATAGTGTTTGAGGTCATTTCTGATATAAGATTCATAAACATTTCAAAAGGATAACAACTATTGAAGGTAATTGGTTTTACTAATTGAATCCAATTAGAAAATAATATGTCACTACTACTCTAGTTCATTAACAAGATAAAAAATCCAAAATTTGCATTTACTTTCTATATTTTCTTCATTTCAATTCAATTTATTCTATTTCAAATATTTTATAATCCAGAATTTACATACATTCCCTTTGTTTATTTTCTCTACTCTACTAATTTTATTTAAAATTTACATGACTATGTCCAACAGCTTGTAATGTTAGTAGGTACCCCATAGGTACCACATTCCGGAAGTTTTGCTTTGCTTGACCAAGGCTAACGACTTCAAAGAAAAAGCAGTTCAAAAATCAATCGAACAGACAACCTTAAACCAATTTATTACATAAACCAGATATCGAATACTAAAAAACTTGATCCAATTTTTTCTGGGGTCGGATTTTAATAACTATAATAGGGATATTAATAAATTTTAATTATTAAACTTCGTGCCGTTACGTTGCACTTTTTCCTAGTAATAATAATGGTGGGAGCTTTATAGATGGAAACGCACCCAGTGTTTGCCTATTCAAGAATTCGCCTGAGATAATTTTAACCTTTCGGGTTCGTTTGCATAATACTACATGGAATTGCAATAGGAGACAATTACTTTATTATTTAACGGGTCTTTGTATAGGCCACTGGTTTCAACCAATAACTCAACTTGAAACAATGAAACCTCATCTAAACTGTTAATTCTATAATATTTATTTGAAACATTTTTCTGTTGAATTCATACCCCAAAGATAAGTTGGTAAAGAAAACGACAGTCCCATTTGGAAGCAGTTTAAGATGGATTTTGGAGGTGAGACTAAAGGAAAATGGTATTTCCAATTTGTTAAACTTAAATTGGGAATAGCTAAACCTTTTCTATGATTTATTCGGTTTGCCAAAAAATTTCTGAAACGAGATGTGGCTATCAACACGATTTTATCTCAGGAACTATAAGTGCAAATGAGCTGAAATTTTCAGAAATTGTAGTATCTTGATTGGGATAAAATTCAGTGAAAGTTTCAGCTTTCTCTCTATAATGGAAAAAAAGTTATGACCTTACTAAAACGATGAAATTTCAAATGTTTTTTGTTGAGATTTTGTGTCCTAATGATCAATTAACATTGCCCAAACTCCATACACTAAATTATTCTCAGATTTGAAGCCGAAATCTATGAAAAAAGCACTCGGAAAAATTGGAAAATTGATAAATCACCCCAAATTGCTTAACACGACTTTATCTCAGGAACTATAAGTGCTGAGCTGAAATTTTCAGGGATTGTAGTCCCTTGATTGGGATGAAATTCAGTGAAAGTTTCAGCTTTCTATCTATAAAAGAAAAAAAGTTATGACCTTTCAAAGTTTTCCAAAATCTAAATCATAACCTTCTTACTAAAACGATGAAATTACAATTTTTTTTTTGTCGAGATTTTATATCCTAATGGTCATTCAACATCCCCCAAACTCTATACACTAACTTATTCTGAGATTTGAAGCCGAAATCTATGAAAAAAGGCACTCAGAAAAATTGAATAATTGATAAATCACCCCAAATTGCTTAACACGACTTTATCTCAGGAACTATAAATGCAAATGAGTTGAAATTTTCAGGGTTTGTAGTCCCTTGATTGGGATAAAATTCAGTGAAAGTTTCAGCTTTCTATCTATAATAGAAAAATAGTTATAACCTTTCAAAGTTTTCCAAAATCTAAATCATAAGCAGCATAAGCTCCAAACATTGAGGATTGTATGTGGTCCATTTTTTGGGCAGATGATAGGTTTGAAGAAAAACAGTCTTGAAAATCCCAAAAATTCTTTATTTATGTACTACCGGTTTCGAAGCCTCAACGCTTCATCTTCAAATATAAAAAGACTAAAATTGAAAAAATACCACAATGAGCACCAGTTTTATTATTTTCGTTGAATCAATCAACCTCTAAACTTGGTTATATTAGTCTTAATATCTAAAAACTGTAACTTACATATTTAATAATAATGAGAGTTGTCAAAATCAGGTCGATTCGGAGGAACAATACCTGGGCATTAGGCAAAATTGTCAATAAGGGATGTTACCCTTTTTGAGTGTTATACTCATGTCCAAAAACAGGAAGGTCGGATATTTTTAATCTGAAAAAATTCCAGGAAAATTATTGAAATTTATTAGCAGCCAAACATTGAATTATTCTCAGATTTGTACCCGAAATCTATGAAAAAAGGCACTCAGAAGAACTGAAAAATTGATAAATCACCCCAAATTGCTTAACACGATTTTATCTCAGGAACTATGAGTGCAAATGAGCTGAAATTTTCAGGGATTGTAGTCCCTTGATTGGGATAAAATTCAGTGGAGTGGAAGTTTCAGCTTTTTATCTATAATAGAAAAAAAGTTATGACTTTTCAAAATTTTCCAAAATCTAAATCTTCTTACTAAAACGATGAAATTTCAAATTTTTTTTTATCGAGATTATGCGTCCTAATGGTCAATTAACATCCCGCAACCTCCTATGAAAAAAGGTACTCAAAAAAATTGAAAAATTGATAAATCACCCCAAATTGCTTATTCCTGATGTTTCCTTGTAGGTATTCAACAATGACTTAATATAAATTTCCTAATACCTCCTGGAATGGTAATTTCTTGTATTTCCCAATAATTTCCTAAAAAAAAATACCTAATTTACTGCATTATGCTGCGTCACGCCATGATACCTTTGTAGGGTAGGATGTATTTCCTCGGTAACTCCTGTACTTTCCGGTAATTCATGAAGATTTTTAATAATTTCCAAATAATTTCCAATTTTCAAGGTGCTTGTATGAAGCTTCCCAGTAATTCCTCGTATTTCATGGTAATTTCTTGTAGTTCCCGTTCCCAATAATTTCGTATGACTTTTTTTATAGTTAGGTAGGTACTCCCCTATGCTACATGTATTTATTTAGTAATTCCTGTACTTCCCGGTATTTTCCAGTAATTCCAAGTAATTGATACAAATTTCGTACTTCCGTTATTGCCTAGTATTTCCCTTTAATTTTATGTAATTCCTAGTATTTCTTAGTTAATTGCAAATAATCTATAGTAGGTACTTTCGTATGATTTCCAGACACTTGATTACTTGATATACCTAACCCCAATCAAAAAGTTTTTTTGAGAGACTATTAAAACTAACACAAAACAGTATTATCAGTCAATTTTTCCCAGGAACTTTCAAAACTTCTCCCTTCTGAGTCAATTTCGCACGTTCATTGTTTTTACCTGTCTACCTGAGAATATTGATTCCACCGAAGTTTCCGGAGAAACTTCAGAAACAATTTTTTTAGTTGATTTTCTCAATTCTCAGGACACTTTCGTCGAAACTATATTCTCTTCTTGACTCAGTTTTCCCCGTAGATCATCAGAAATCTGCTTAGTTAGTTAGTTTTTGCCGGAAACTATCAAAAGTCCTTTTCCCCTAAAACTATCAGGAACATTTTTCTAAGGCACTATTTTTTTCCCTTGTTCCAGGCCTGTCCGACTTATTGTCCCCATGCAGCACTGAAACCTGAGAAGGCTTATTGTACTTAGCCTGTGTGGTTTATCCCAAACACTTCAGTATTTTTGTGCCTTGTACGAGGTTGTACATACATCAGGTCTTTTACTGGGTTTTTGTGTTTCATTATTGTTTCCAGTTGTACATTTCGCCCTTTTGCATGGTTGGTGGATGAATTCCGTAACATGATTCTACGTGGCAGGTGTCCAATGTCGCCGATGTTCTTTACGAATCCAGTCTTTGGTGTGGCCTCTGGTCATACTTTTTGGTATTCCTAGAGCCGGTTCTGGCCCGATAAGTTTTATCTCTGTCGACCCTTTGCGAGTTCATCAGCTTTTTCATTGCCTTCTATTCTTCTGTGCCCTGGCACCCAGATAAGTTTCACCTTATTCTGGTCCGCCAGGGTCCTGAGTTCTTCCTGGCATTCCCATACTAGTCTTGATGACACTGTCTGGCTCAAAAATACTTTCAATGCTGCTTGACTATTAGACATTATAAGGATCTGCCTGTTGGCTGTGGCTCTCCTGTTGTTCTCTGCTGCGCATTGGAGAATAGCATATACCTCTGCTTGAAAAACAGCGACATGTCTTCCCAGTGCATAGTGATTGCTATAGTTGGGAGAGTATACCCCTGCTCCGGTACCAGACGTGGTCTTCGACCCATCTGTGTACCAGGCGTTTTGTTTTTTGATCTCCGGTATACCATGTTCCCATTCAGTTTTGCTTGGAAAGCTCACCTCGAATGGTCTGTTTAGGCAGTATCGTCTTGGCATGTAGTTGGTCCTCATATTGAAAATCACTCCCCCACGAGTTCTACGATTCTCATGTGTCCCGTCCTTTTGTTGGAGGCGGTTGTCAGCTGCAGTCTGTACGCTCCCATCCTTGCCTCCCCCTGTATCACTATGTGTAGAGGTGGGAGGTCTAGGAGGGTCTCAATGGCTGCTGTTAGTGTGGATCGCATTGACCCCGTTATTCCTGAGCAGGCTAGTCTTTGCACTTTGCTGAGTTGGCATATGGCACTTCCCTGCAGTGTCTTGGGCCTCCAAATCAGGGAGGCGTATGTCAAGATAGGTTTGACCATCATGTTGTATGTCCAATACAGAATGTCCTGTCTTAAGCTCCAAAGCTCCATAATTTTCTATGCAAGCGTCTGGCTATCATGAGTAATGTTACCGCTTTTTTGATGGTGTTTTCCAGAAGTTGATTCCAGGTAGGTTTTGAGTCCAGTGTTACCCCCAAGTACTTGACCTCGCTCGAAATCTGTATAATTTCACCCCTTGATTTAAGAGGTTCCAGGTCTTGTATTTTATGCTTTCGGGTAAATACCACGATGGTGGATTTGTTGGGACTAATGTTTAGCCCTTCTCTCTCCACCCATTTTGCTGTTCGGACGGAGTCCTCCGTCAGTGGACACCTTAAGCAGGTTATCCGCCACTAGATTGCACAGGAGTGGGGATATTACCCCGCCCTGTACACCGTGGCCGCCAGTGTTTCCTCTACGGTGGTGGTTCCTACCATTCTTTCTCTTAGCATGGAGTTGATCCACACACAGCAGGTGTCCTCAACTCCTTTGTGCTTGAGAAATCTGGTTATTGAATCGAAGGAAGTGTTGTCAAAAGCTCCCTTTATATCCAAGAAGGAACCTAGCTTCACCTCTTTATTGGCCAGTGCGTGGTCTCCACTATGCTGATCAGCTGGTTAGGCGCTGTTTCTGTTGACATCCCTGTCCGATACGCATATAGGTCTGGATGTACCTAGTGGTCTGTTTGCCAAAAAACCGTCCCAAATGTGACTGTCTACAAGTTTTTCCAGTGTGTTAACCTCAAATGATGTAAGACTAATGAGTCTTAGGGACTTCGCCGTTTCCTGTCCTATTTTTTCAGGTTTTAGTATGAACGATACCCTAATGCGCACTGACACTAGACAGTATTAGATTAAACTACTTTCTTTTTGGTCAATTTTACTCAGAAACAACTTTCGACCTAAGCATCTAAAATCTTCTAATCTTAAAAGTACCAAGTACCAGAACTTTATTACCAACATCAACTTGCTATCGCTTGATATGCTCTCACTGAATAAAAATTTGTATTTACTTTTCAAACATGCTCATTTCTTACGTCCAAATGTCTTAATCATAAATTCCCTACAGAAAGAACAAATCGTTTTCGCCCAGGCAGGAATCATCGATCAGGTTTATAGCTGAATTAGCTGATGGGTGAAACTATTTCCATAAGCCATACATTAGGTTGTACGATTTACCTGGGAAACTAAAAGTTAGTTTGCATCAGTCCGGTGGCCGGTGCACTGAGCTAAATCACAATAAGCAATAATGAGTTTCGCAGTTAGACACTACAAATTTAAAATGTGAGACATATATACATGGGCGTTTTATCATTCATAAACAAAAATGCCACATATTACATGGTTCAAGTTACCTACTTATTGATCGAACGAAGAAAAGAAACATCTCGAAAAATCGGAGCCAAGGCAACAATTTTCACATTAGAGAAGCCGAATGAGATAACTATAGTGTGTATGGATATTCGTTCAGTGAATATGCAAAATGATGCAGAGTCTTCAACATCATACTCCTTCCCAACTAGACTCACTTATTACTTGTATATCTTCTTTCTATCTTTAGTTATTTTTGCATTGATTTCTACATCATCTCTCAAGCTTCAACATAATATTTTCTTATCTATGACTGGTTACAAATACTGTTAATGGTCGACTTTCTCGAAATTTTGAAAATGCATAGTCAAGCTATCGAAAACAACTTTTGAAATAACCTTTATTTTGTAAATTCTAGGTTGTCCTATCAGCAGTGCTAGGCCTAGCTCTTGGCCAAGGCTACAAAGGTGATCCGAGAACAGCCGCCATCGTAGCCGAGCAAAGATATCTAGGCGGAGACGGCCGATTCGGCGCTACCTACACACAAGAAGACGGAGTAAATTTCAAGGAAGAAAGTGAAGCCGATGGCACTCGCAGAGGAAGCTATTCCTACGTTGATCCCAATGGCCAAAGGTAAAACATTTTTCCCCCAATCAATTCAAAAATAATAATAATGCGTTATTTTAGACACACCATCAGCTATACTGCAGGCAAACACGGTTTCATGGCAACAGGCGATGGTATTCCTCAACCATTGCCAACCACCTTGCCTGTAGCTCCCCAGCCTCAATACCAACCGCTACCTCAATACAACGCTCCAGACTACCAACCACCACAACAGCAATACAGGCCCCAGGCTCAACCACAATACCAACCTCAGCCACAATACCAACCACAGCCCCAATATCAGCCACAGCCTCAATACCGACCACAACCACAACCAAAACCACAATACTCGACCACTCCAGCTCCTCACAGGTTCTATCCACCAGGAAAATTGTCTCTTAACAGATCTCCTGATGGTTACAGTTACACTTTCAATCAAGCTTAAGCTAACTGTTTTTTTTTTCTGTGACTATTTTGTATTATAATTTTTTTTTCTGTATATTGTTGTTTGTATACTAATGTGAGGCTTTCTGAGACTGAACTGAGGTATTTTTTTTTGTGTGTAAATGTGAAATAAAAGTGTTTGAACACGATGGTTATTGTTTTTTTATTTTATTTTATCAAGCATTTCTGGCTATCATTTTCTAAAAATTATTTTTTGTGAATTGTGAATACCTATTACAGTAAAACTATTTTTGTTGAGATTGTGATGTGAACTTACAAAGAAGATCCCAGTGGTTTAACTGTAATTTCAGTCACCTATAATAAAAATATTGAAATACCCATTTAAAATTACAAATTTTGCTTACATTAACATGCGGTGGAGTAGATAGAGCATAAATAACTGCAGCCGAAATATCGTTGGAGTGCAAAGCTGTCAATTGTTCCAAGAACTCATCTGGAATTTCAGCAACTGAACAAAACTCTGTTTTCACATATCCTGGACTGATGCTCTAGAAAAGAAATCTTAGCAACTTGAAAAAACCCTTAAGTTTAAATCCTTACAGTTACTTTAACAGGAATTTTTTCCCTATTCAAATCATTGCACAGGGTTTCTGCCAAACCTGTTACTGCAAATTTGCTAGCTCCGTATACACTTAATCGAGGTATATCCAGTATTTGGTGTCCAGTTATACTGTTGATATGAATTATATGCCCCTTGGTGCCTTTGGAGATCATGTTTTGTAGAGCTTCTCTAGTTGCGATGCAAAGAGCCAGTACATTTGTATCTATAGAATTTTGATTTAATTTGAAAATTTATTAATATAAATTTATTCTTACCAAGCATTGTTTTCCATTTTTCAGTATCGCCATTAATTAGATCAGTTGACAGCATTAGCCCAGCATTGTTGACTAATACATGAATATCGCCTAATTTTCTGATGATTTTCCTGAAAGCTGATTTTATATCTTCTTCAACTGTCAAATCGCATTTGAAACCATAAAGCTTGCCAGGTTCATCTTTTAGCTGTTCTGCTTGGTCTACTATGCGATCTACTCTTCTGGCTAATCCAGCAACCTAAAAAGGAACCTCTGTTAAGGCAAGTTTTTTTGAAATCATATGGTTACTAACTATGACTCCATTTTTTACCAAATCTTCTACAATAGCAGCTCCGATTCCTGCCGAAGCACCTGTTACTACAGCCACCTTACCAACGAATCTTTCTAAACTTAAATTCATGGTTGTTCACTATATGAGGATTCAAAGAATAATGGGATTGAAGCAATTAAGAAAACTTTATTTATAACTAAGGAAGTAGGTTGTGCTATAATTCTATTGGCCAGAAATATTGTTTGTATTATATTGTCACCTTGCACAAAAAAGTAGCAAGAGGTTTCTGCATAAATAATAAGGATAAATGATAAGCTAGACTTCTTCTAGTTGCAATTATTTTATTAATAAATTATCAATAATCCATAGTTTTTACCACGTAGGTGTAAAAAAAAGCCAGACATGTTTGGAAACTCTCAGGTATTTACCTGATTTAAAATTTATAAGAAAGTATCGGATCTAATTGCAGTAGAATTATTAAGCAATTATAGAAAAGCAAAAAATGTTTTATTTTCCACACAATTTTTCTTTAAATCAAATTCAAATTATCCCCCATATTGATAGTCATTGTTAACTTCATTTAATCTAGATGAAGTATATCTTGTTTCGTAAGCTGATTGGTATTGTGGTCTTGGGTAAGAACTCGGTGGTCTAGTTCTAGGTATGTATTCCTCTTGAGCTGGTTGATAAGGTTCTGGTTCACTAAAAACATTTTAAGATTGAAAAAAAAAATATCTTAAACCCAAAAAATTCTACCTGTAGTACTGTTGTTGAGGTTCCGGAGGAGACTCGGGAACATTCTGAGTAGCTGAATTCACATTTCTAGTACCAGCAAAATAATTGAAATTTACTTTAAGTCCTGTAGGATCTTTATAAGAATAACTCCCATGTATATAACCTGAAGGATCTCCTTGAGCGGCATGACTAATACCATCCTCTGTTCTATATTGGAAACCAAAAGTACCTAATATAGAAATCACAAATTAATATTCGCAATAATCGCAGTGCGGCATTTTTAAATTTACTTAAAATGATTTCCATGTTTAAATACAGATTTTTATCTTATATGACACATTTACACGCAAGTTATTCATGAACAATCCACAATATAAAAATGTTACTGTTAAGAAACCTAATTTTTCTCAATCAATTCTTATTGAATTTTTTTTTGGTCGTTCATCCAAAAGGTCCGACCCATCGAAAGTTCGCCATGCAATGCATGGAGCAAATTGCAACTCAAGCTTACAATTTCACTAAAGCCAAAGGATTTTATAGAACCAAATTCCTATTAGTATTCTCAGTTTCAAGACACATTCAGAGTCCTGGCTATGAAATTCAAGAAGACTTATTGAAGATGCTGCATGGTCAGAAGCTTTGGTCCATCGAAGTTTCTCATGTCGATAGAAGGGAGTTTAATTCGTATTCGGAGAATTGTATTGAGGATTTGAGGCTGGTCGATGCAGTGAATTCAACCAGACTTTATCAGCCTCCGAATTGTGTGAGAAAACCCGTTTTACAATTGAAAACTAACTGTTACATTATAGTAATTGATAATTTGCAAAGTTTTTATAGGCGGTTGGATAATATTATAAACGGTTCGAATTATAACTGGAGAGCTTTGTTTATCGTTTATTACGCTAAAATAACTACAAAGAGCTATGAGATAGCTTTGGAGCTTGTTGTAGCTTTATATGAAAATTCTATAGCTAATATGATTATATTGGTTCCTAGGAGCGTAACAAAGTTTGGCTTGTTTGTTTTGAAAAGATATAATGCTGTTGGGGTGAGGTGTTTCACGGAAATCGATACCAAAATGGGGTTTCAGTGTAATGATGGTTAGTATTTCGAGTTTTTCATAAGGGTACTACTACCTTTGAATTCTGATTTCAAAATTTTCAAACCTCAATTGCTCGGTAACCGTTTTTGACCAAATTCGGACCAAAAGTCAACTTTGTTGCTCAATTGCTCAAAAATAATTTGAGCTACTTTACTCAATTTTGTACATATTTATGGAGAATTTAATGCTCTTTCCAATGGTGTATAATTTCTTTCAATTTGCTTGAAATTCAACAAAGATACGGGCAATTGCTCAAGACATGTCAAGATTTTGAAAATTTTCCAGAACCAAAAAATAAGATTTCCTTTTTATTTTTGTTTCTGTTTGAAATGGCCATTTGGAAATGATGTCAGGATCGTTTTCCACTAATTTTGACTCACTCTATCGATTGGTAAAGTCAAAATTGAGCAAAACTGAAAAATAAAAAAGTCGAGTTTTTCATAAGGGTACCCCCTTTGAATTCTGATTTCAAAATATTCAAACCTCAATTGCTCGGTAATTGAGAAATTTTCAGAATTTGTAGCTCTTGTCAAGCTCTTGAATGCCTGTAATTAACAATATTTCCAGGTTTATAGTTTTCGAGAAAATTGAGTTTGAAGTTTTTGACAAAATTTAGACTAAAAGTCAACTTTGAGGCTCAATAAATCAAAAACTTTCTTAGCTATCAAAATCAATTTTACATGGATTTATAGAGAATTTAATGCTCTTTCCAATGGTATATAATTTATTTCAATTTGCTCGAAATTTAACACTGATATAGGCAATTGCTCAAGACATGTCAAGATTTTGAAAATTTTCCAGAACCAAAAAATAAGATTTCCTTTTTATTTTTGTTTCTGTTTGAAATTCCATTCAAAATATTCAAACCTCAATTGCTCGGTTACCGTTAAGCAAATTACATTGAAATTTTCAGAATTTGTAGCTCTCCTCAAGATTTTAAATACCTGAAATTGACAATATACTCAGGTTTAGAGTTTTCGAGAAAATTGAGTTTGAAGTTTTTGACAAAATTTAGACCAAAAGTCAAATTTGAGGCTCAATTACTCAGAAACTTTCTGAGCTATCAAAATCAAATTTGCAGGGATTTATAGAGAATTTAATGCTCTTTTTAATGGTATATAATTTATTTCAATTTGCTCGAAATTTAACAAAGATATAGGCAATTGCTCAAGACATGTCAAGATTTTGAAAATTTTCCAGAACCAAAAAATAAGATTTCCTTTTTATTTTTGTTTCTGTTTGAAATTCCATTCAAAATATTCAAACCTCAATTGCTCGGTTACCGTTAAGCAAATTACATTGAAATTTTCAGAATTTGTGGCTCTCCTCAAGCTTTTAAATACCTGAAATTGACAATATACTCAGGTTTAGAGTTTTCGAGAAAATTGAGTTTGAAGTTTTTGACAAAATTTAGACCAAAAGTCAAATTTGAGGCTCAATTACTCAGAAACTTTCTGAGCTATCAAAATCAAATTTACACGTATTTATAGAGAATTTAATGCTCTTTCCAATGGTATATAATTTATTTCAATTTGCTCGAAATTTAACAAAGATATAGGCAATTGCTCAAGACATGTCAAGATTTTGAAAATTTTCCAGAACCAAAAAATAAGATTTCCTTTTTATTTTTGTTTCTGTTTGAAATTCCATTTGGAAATGATGTCAGGGTTGTTTTCCGCTAATTCTGTCGCACTCTATCGATTGGTAAAGTCAAAATTGAGCAAAACTGAAAAATAAAAAAATCGAGTTTCTCATGAAGGTACCCCCTTTGAATTCTGATTTCAAAATATTCAAACCTCAATTGCTCGGTTACCGTTAAGCAAATTACATTGAAATTTTCAGAATTTGTAGCTCTCCTCAAGATTTTAAATACCTGAAATTGGCAATATCCCCAGGTTTAGAGTTTTCGAGAAAATTGAGTTTGAAGTTTTTGACAAAATTTAGACCAAAAGTCAACTTTGAGGCTCAATTACTCAGAAACTTTCTGAGCTATCAAAATCAAATTTGCAGGGATTTATAGAGAATTTAATGCTCTTTCCAATGGTGTATAATTTATTTCAATTTGCTCGAAATTTGACAAAGATATAGGCAATTGCTCAAGACATGTCAAGATTTTGAAAATTTTCCAGAACCAAAAAATAAGATTTCCTTTTTATTTTTGTTTCTGTTTGAAACTCCATTTAGAAATGATGTCAGGGTTGTTTTCCACTAATTCTGTCCCACTCTATCGATTGGTAAAGTCAAAATTGAGCAAAACTGAAAAATAAAAAAATCGAGTTTCTCATGAAGGTACTCCCTTTGAATTCTGATTTCAACATATTCAAACCTCAATTGCTCGGTAACCGTTGGGTAAATTGCATTGAAATTTTCAGAATTTCTAGCTCTTATCAAACTCTTGAATACCTTTAATTAACAATATTCCCAGGTTTATAGTTTCTGAGAAAATTAAGTTTGAAGTTTTTGACAAAATTTAGACTAAAAGTAAAATTTGAGGCTCAATTACTCAAAAACTTTCTGACCTATCCTATCAAAATCAATTTTGCATGGATTTATAGAGAATTCAATGCTCTTTCCAATGGTATGCAATTCATTTCAATTTGCTTGAAAATTAACAAAGGTATGGGCAATTGTTCATGACCATGTCAAGATTTTGAAAATTTTCCAGAGCTAAAATTGTACTTCAAGTACCTCTAAATCTATTAAATATATTTACTTCATACTTGTACTTCAAGTACCTACTTTCGTAATGTACTTGTGCCGGCTCTGAATAACTATATAAGTTAACAAAGTTGAGTTTCAGAGACATGCAACGTGGTCGTTTTACTCATCTACCTAATCTTTATTATAAGACAAATATATCGAACATCCTTTTACCTCTCACACTAATTATTTCTCTCCATTTTCTAATTGTATAGTCTTAGCCTTAAAATTCCTCCTATGTATCTTTTTTAGCTAAGTTTCATAGTGTTTCTTCTCTATTATCATTCCCTATCCTATCAGTTTCCATTATCTATCATTTGAAACTCTTCCATCTTTATATTTCTCAATACATTCTGAGTCTGGTCTGATGTTCTTTGTAATATACTCCATAGGTCTACTCTAAAATTGTCCAGTTGACGTTATTCTTAGCAGTCTATTTCCAGTTGTCCCCAATCATAAAATATATTTGAAATGTTTTGTCCAATTTCATTCTCAGCTGATGTGGTAGATAGTTGATGTATTTGGGGACCGCCTTAACTTCATACTGTGAATCATTCTGAGATTTTGAAAAAAAGAGTTGCGGAAAAATCAAGAAACGATAAAATTTCCTCCTCTTTTCTTAGAAGAATTGTACCTCTGTAACTCCAAACCCCAAAAGGTGCGTTTTCTCAAGTTCACCTGACTTTCGTAAAAATATCTCATGTTATAAACTAAACTATCCAGGAAAAAAAAGACACAAATTTCTTTTAGGCATACTGAAGAGCCGAGCAAACATATTCAAACAATCCGAAGTTAAAAACTACCACAATTGCTTCGTGAACGTTAAAGCAGTACCGGTAGAACCATTCGTAATTTCAACTTGCTTGGGCATAGAACCCACAGTTTTAAAAGAAATAGGCAATTCGCTTAACGTTTCATTTGAAATCGAAATCTCTCCGAATGCCACCATCCAACTAGGAGTAAGAGATTCGAACGGTTCTTGGACTGGATTTCTGGAACCGATTTATGAAAATTGGGAATTAGGCATTGGCAACATTTCGCCTGATGGAGAGTTGGTTGAAGATTTTACTTTTAGCTTAGCTTATTATTATGCGCAAGTTGTTTTAGTAATACCAATAGCTCCAATTATACCAAGGTAAAACCAAATTTTCAATTTCCAAATAAATCAATACTGTATTTTTTAGGTGGCGAGTTTTAGTGGCAATATTCACAACCGAAATGTGGGCAATATGCATAGGTGCAATCTTCGGATTTGCCATAGCGTTTTACGTCTTTAAACCGAAAAATGAAGTTGGAACTTTCAAAAAGTTTCACAAGTGCCTTATTGCTGCCTACCAAATAATTCAAGCTCATCCAGTTGCGATACAACCAATCTACGATTCGACTAGGGTATTGTTTATAAGCCAGGCAATATTTGCAATAGTAATTAATGCAGTTTATACTACTTCTTTGATTTTTTATCTTCAAAACACTATAAGGGAATATCAGATTACTACTGGCAGAGAAACACAGGAAAGGAGTGAGTGTATTTTTATTGAGTCACTTTTTGGTCTTGTTACGTAAATTACTATTTCAGATATGACGTTTGGAGGATCTCCGAAATTTCGCGAAATGTTTAGATCGTCTTCTTCCAAAAATGCCGAAAACCTACTGCGAAATTACCAGACCGTAGACGAAAGTATGGACACGTACCATTATTGGTTGAAGAGGGTGGCGGAACGAAATTGTTCTACAATCGCAGTAAAAGCTACCGTCAATTATTTGTTGTTACGCAATGATCCTATTGTTACTACTAAGCATAACGAACCGAAGGTTTTCATTATACCAAAGGCTCTCAGGGTTCAACAGGTAATTAGGAATTATTTTATCTATAGTTTTTAAATATATTCGAAAGTTTGCTCCTCAAACAGACTAAATACCAAAAAGAAACAGTGGCAACTATGTTTTCTATGAACTTGAATTCTTCACATTCTTTTCACGGGTGTTCTTAATTTAGGCGGACAGTACAGAGCAGCATCAAAAATCTATAAATTTCATTTATCGGTTAATAATTTGTTCTAGGTTGGTATTATAATGCGTAAAGGTCATTTTCTAGAAGACCCAATAAATTACGCCATCCAGAAACTTCTTATAGAATCTGGAATCATAACAAAAATAAGAGGCGATTATCTTCAAAAAAACATGATTCTGATGACTCAGTCCGAAGATGACGATGATTCTGATGAAGATAAAGAAGAACATTCGAAAGTAACTCCGATCTCCTCTCACCATTTAGAAGGAGCTTTCGCACTGTTGGCTTTAGGGTTTGTGTTGGGATTTTTGGCGTTTTTAGTGGAGCTTGCTTGGTATTTTAGTCGAAAAATGTGTGTCAGAAAAAAGAGAATTCCGTATTTACCATAGACGATGTTGCTATAGTAAACACTTACCATCACTTGTTGGTTCGATCCTGGAATCTTGGATAATTGTAGGGTTGAATCTTCTGGATTGCGACTGGGAGAATGTCGATCCAGTAACTATCCACAGCATCCATAATATCTATAAAATTTAAGTATCAGGTACAAGTGTAAAATAGTATTTATCACCTATTTAATATTATTCTCAGTAAAATTGTTAATTAATAAGAAAAAAATCTCCATACGTATCTACAAATTATTTGTCATCAATTTAATTTTATGGCTTTATAGTTTTTAAGAAGAGGAAGAGCAGAAGTCAAACTTCACACTTCACACTGTTATTTGTTGATAATCAGTTGATTTTGCCTTGCTTTCTTCAATTATTATTTTTTTTCAACTTGTAAAATGTGTACATTCTATTTTTGAGTAATACTCCACGGTAGAACCTACATACCCGTTATCTTGGCGCCCAACGTGGGGCCGTGGAAGGATTATCGGAACTCTTTTTCAATGCAGTTTGCTGCTGCCCCCACAAAACAAAAATTCTAAAAAACAATTGTAAGTGATTCGCCCCGACTTTGCCCCGTGTGTGTCGGCCAATTTTGGACTCCGTGCAATCGTACAAGTGACATTTTAGACTACTTTGTTAAATTGATTCGCCCCGATTTTGCCCCGTATGTGTCGGACAATTTTGGATTTCGTGCAATCGTTTAAATAGATGTCCAAGACTGTAAGTAACTAGATGTTTAATTATTTTGGTGATTCAGAGGAACCAGATAGTTCATCGACATCATCCACATCTAGAAACCCTTACGAGCTTCGTTCTCGTAGAATTTGTAACCTAAATAGCAATATGAGCTCTGTCACGTTAACAGACGAACAGTTTCAACAGCTTATGTCTCGCTTAATTGTAGCCCCTCAGCAACAAGCTGCTTATCAAGCTCCAGCTCCTACTGGGAACTTAGCAAAATGTAACTCAAGGTTTGATGGTTCTTCAAATGCTGATGTTAACGCATTTATCGATGCAGTAGAAATTTATAAAGACTGTAGTCTAGGACAAGATGACAATGCTCTTAAAGGTCTGCCTATGTTGTTTGATGGTTTTGCTGATCATAAAAACAGCCGTACGCTGCTTGGGGTGGATTTTATCCAAGCAGCCAACCTTATCATTGACGTACCCAACAGTATTTATTATTTTTCTGAGAATCCTCATAAACCATACACTTTCTGCTCCGAGGAAGACATAGCTCTACAACTACAACTACACAGTGTCGATTTTTCAGAAATTTCTCTCCAAGAGACTGAAGGTCTTACCTTGCAGCCAGAGGAAAAAGAGAAGCTGAATGCTATATTGTGCCAGAACGCCAGCGTTTTCGAGCCCAATAGCGAACCTACTCCATTTGCAGAGCACGCAATTGTTTCATTGAACGATAATCCTATATTTGTACCGCCTTATCGGATGTCGGAGATAAAGAAGCATCAGCTGCGCACTGAATTGGACAAGTTGCTGCAAAGTGGTACCATAGAGGAGTGTGAGTCGCCCTATGCCGCCCCAGTGGTCCTAGTGCCCAAGAAGAATGGTGGGATCCGATTGGTAGTGGATTACCGAGAACTCAATTCAATTACCAGAGCAAATCGGTACCCATTACCAAGAATAGACGACTTATTACACGAAGCAAAAAAGACTCAGTTTATGACGACATTAGATCTGAGAAGTGGATACCAACAAATAAGTGTGAAACTCGAAGATAGAGACAAAACAGCTTTTATTACACCATTTGGAACAATTAGAATACCTTTTGGTCTTTCCACAGCCCCATCTACTTTCCAGAGGCTCATGTTTTCGTGCTGGCCTACCTGACATTTTTATGTTGGTGTATCTTGACGACCTGATAGTCATTTCATCGAGTTTCACAGAACATCTCCAAGATCTACAAAAGCTTTTCTTTTCAATAGATTCAACTTGTTCAAACTCAAGTTAAACCGTCCTAAGTGTCATTTCTCCTGCAATTCGATCAAGTACCTTAGACACGTGATCACCCCAGAAGGGATCCTTCCCGATAATACCAAGGTTGATGCCATTATAAATATGCCACCACCCAAAAACGTCAAAGAGCTCTTAAGTTTCCTGCAAACCTGTTCCTGGTTCAGGTGATTTATCGATAATTTTGCAAGTATTCCCAAACCTCTCATATCACTGACAAAGAAGAATGCGAAAGTTAAAAATTTCACTGAGCTCTACACCAATCTTTAGACAGGCTGACTGTAAGTTACCATATACACTACGTACTGAAGCAAGAAGTTATGCCCTCGAAGCATGTCTACTCTAGGGGGAAGGTGAGGATGAACGCCCAATTGAGTATGCATCCAGGTTGCTCAATCAGGCAGAACAAAACTACAGCACGACTGAACGAGAAGCTCTTGCTGTCATCTGGGCTGTTCAGAAATTTAGAGGATACATAGAAGGCTCCACTGTCATAGTACAAAATGATCATCACCCTTTAAGGGGGTTGATGTTCCTAAAAACCGCTACAGGACGACTAGCTCGATGGGCTTTAAGCCTACAAGGTTATGATCTCCAAATCGATTATATCCTTGGCAAGAAAAATGTTATAGCAGACACCCAGACAAGAATTAGACGAAACGATCAATATTGTCACTGTCGATCTACCAACAAAATTGGCAACTGAAATCCGAGCAGAACAGATGACTTAAGCAAGATAATAAATGGACTGGAAAGTTCTGCTACTGGCGTTGATTTTAAAAAATGGGCTGAGACAGGATATGTCCTATCTAATGGAATCTTATATCGATATTCACCGGAAATAGATGAAGAAGAGCCTCAACAAGTAGCAGCACGAAGTCAAATACCGCAAATACTACACGAATACCATGACTCACTATGGAATTGAACGAACCTTACAAAGAATAGCTAGAAGATACTATTGGCCCGGAATGAAGAGAACCATTACCGAACATATTAGCAAATGCATTGAATGCCAAGAATTTTTATCGTGGAGGATACAGCCAGTCGCTGGACGGAGATGTTTCCTCTCCAAAATGCCACAGCTGAAGCATACGCAACAAAGTTGTCTATACACATTTCTCACGATCATGCATTGTGAATACATAAATTGCCGGCGATACGATTTTCTATCAACACTGCTAGATGCGAATCAATAGGATTTACTCCAGCATATATGACATTTGGTCGTGAATTAAGAACCCCCGAAGATGTGAACAGGGATATGCGAGCAATTACCGAAAATGACACTTTCGTTCCACAAATTACACCTTACCTGCTCACTTTAAGCAGCACACTTTGAGAAGCTCGAGAAAATGATGAAAGGAGCCAAGATAGACGCTCACAAATTAAGGATCAAGAAAGAAGATCATTTACCTATAATACAAAGTGCTAGTAAATACACATATTTTGAGCAGCATCAAGAATCAGTTTACCTCCAAATTTGAATCGAAACGTGATGGGCCATACTTAGTACAAAAACAAATAAATCCCACCACATACGGGATAACATCTATCGAAGATCCTGAAAAACCGCTTGGAAAGTACCATGTATCGGCTCTAAAACCTTTTGTGGAAAAAGAAAGTGAAGTTCCAAATCCAATATGCCCAATCCGGAAACGAGGACGATCTGCTTTGTCTAGGAAAGAAAATAAACTAGATGATTTGCAATTTTATAAAACTGTAGTATAAACTTAAGATTGGAGTTTAAGCTCTACTTGCAAAAGCGGCCCTTAATTCTTTTTTCAACGGTAGAACCTACATACCCGTTATAATTTGTATTTAAATATTTTGTATAAGTAGGACCTACATAGTATAAAAGCTGTTGAAATGCAAGTTGTACCTACATACGACATAGGTATTATTATAATTTAGGTACCTACTCAATCTTTTTTTCTAGTTTTTAATTTAAATATGTACTTACATGATATAGGTAGTTAATTTTATGAAATATTTCATTTCATTATTTGTCTACAAAGCTAAATTGTGAATTGGATTTTTAGGCTTTGGCTTGAGACACATCAAGAACAATATGCAAATTTTATACGTTTCCTTTAAGGAAACACGAAGTAATTTTTTGCTCATTTATTACCAAATAAGTACCTATTCAGTCACTTGAATAAACTGATATATAGCATCAGACATAGTATTTTATGCTTAAATGCAATTTTTATGGAATATTGTGCCGTTTACTTTATTTTTCAAATCGAGAACGATTTAGGTATATTACAAACCAATGAATATAGAAAAATAATTTATTATCGGAAGAAAATTTAAAAGCAACCAACAAAACTACAAAGAAGTTTCTACTGGTTTGTGAAATGTACAGAAAGTTATGAAATCCATGAAGATAATAATTAATAAATCGATTCATATAAAACTTCATCATCAGCTAGCTTGGAAAGTTTAAAGTTTCTTGATAAAAATAAAGATATTGTAAATGTTGTCGAGAGTTATTCTTCAAATTTTCTTGACTTTATTCAAAAAATATTCCTTTTTTTCTAAATTCAAAATTGACTTTCTTACGGGACAGGGGAGTAAATTTGAATGCAGATATCTGTTTAGAATTTACAAGTCTGAGAATAAATACTTAGGTACGAAAATGCATCCAAACCTCTTCTCAAAAATTTTCTTGACTTTGTTTAAGAAATATCAATTTCCTCGAATTATTTCAAATTTTAAGAACATATTCGGAACATGTTAAAAAAGATTCACTTCTGTTTATTTTTTTGATAATTCGTGAAATGTACGCCTATTAATTCTTTGAAATGGGGTGAATTTTAGCTGACTTTCGAATTTTTTATTGGTTCCCCTATATATTTTTTGAAAATTCTAATGACATTGGCATCTAAGGTCCATTTATTAACACAACATATTTTTTTCAATGCTACCGAGTACCTAACTGGTTTACCTACAACTTACTGTAGGAAATGCCCCAAATTCACGCCCTTTTTGAAATGTAAGATGCCCCTTAAAATTGACTACGCACAGCATATTATTACCTAGGGAAAAGCTATGGCTATGGATCTTTAAAACCCAATAGCTTATTAGATCTATTTGAGTCTTTAAGTGTGGCTTAGTTTGCTAGATTCTTATACTTATTATATTTTTGTAAATTTGTTACTTACGTTAATAAATTTCACTTCTACCATATTTCCTTCCAGCACTAATTAACAAATAACTGACTGCAACCAAATTTCTTTTCTTTTGCAAAATCGCCTCAGAGACCATGCAGTATGTTTATATAGCCACCCAGAACCGCACCCATTCTAATGCCGCCCCGTTTGGATGTCGGAAAAAACATTCCTGCATCATATAGCTATAATTTGTATACTTAGGTACCTTTTTTTTTCTGCATTTTTTAATATAATGTATTTTTTATTCAAAGGAGCTTTTTACAGTAAGTGCTGCAACCGAATTTGCTATATAGGATATTTTTTTTTCAAATAAAAATTGTTGCTTTACTAAGCTGCATTTTTTTAATATAGATTCTTATGTTTGTCCAGCTAATGTGTCCCAAATAAATGAATTTATTTCCATATATGATGAATGAATGACAATATCTTTCTGGATTATTGTGGGTCCGATTCTTCTTGTTTTTTTTTTCTATCTTTTTATCTAGTTTTCTTTATTTCTTTTTAAACTTTTCCTGTAGCATTCTTATTTTGCGTTGGACTTCTCCCATATTCTGGAACAATTCAGCGATCCTGTAAATATCTTTTTGTCTTTGTGCTTGGAGAGCTTTCTCGAGCAGTTTTCTTGGTTTTGCGAAATTTTCTGTACTTTTTCTTTGAGTTCTGTGTCCTTTCCCTTCTTCTTCACGTTTTTCATTCATTTGTATGTCTTCTTTTTCCTGATTTTCTGTTATTGACAGATTCAGGACTGTCCTGTTATTTTTTCTTCTGTCTTCTCTCCGTTTTTCCTTTCCACTTTTCTCTTCCCAAATTTTCAATAACCACAACTACATTATCATGTATTTATCATAGATGCATTTTTTTTCTATTCGCTGATTCTAAATTCTGATTTTAAATCTTGTCTTAGATATACTAAGTATGAAACTTTAAAAAATGGAAAATTAATAATTCAACCTAGCAAAAATCATAAAAATATTAAGCCAGTTAGTGAAATATGTAGGTACCTATATTTCTTTGGTACAAATTTAACATTGACCTTATCCAAAGTATGCAACATTAGCCTAAAAATGTGATAAATTTCTACCATGTGAAACCGACAAGGAATGCTATCAATCCTTTGCAGAATGCTAGCTTAGGTTGCCACCCATATAAATATAAAGTTTTATGACTTATTTTATTAATGGGGAAGTGGCGCTTAGAATAAATTTGCTAGAATAAATTATGCATATCTAATTATTCAACTAGAATTTACACAAATTATTATGAGTGAGTACCTACTTAAACTGTCTTTAAGATGAAACAAGTTCTGTAGGTACCATTATCCATTATCATTAAGCACCTAACATTTATGTGATGAAAAAGCTTCCTTTGTATAGTCAACGATGCCTAGATGGATATCTATTAGTTCAGCTTTTGCCTTTTTTTCCAAAAATAAATACTCCCACAAAGATTATCAAAACAAAGATAAAAAAAATTGTTCAAAAAAAGCCCCCAAAACAACTTTATTGTCAAAAAGCAAATACAAATAGTCTTTTTCAAAAACCGTAACATTAACATTTTTAACAGAAACTAACGAAAATAAACAGCAAAAGAATCGCAATAATGCCGTATGTCGGATCCGCAATGGTTCTGACATGTGCACACACATCAAATTCAATGGTATAAGGCTTAAGATCACAGCTGTGTCGATTTTTACCCTCATACCGACATTAAGTTTCACCAAAAATCAATCTCTACGAACCCCCTTTTTGCTGAATACATTTTGTGAGAGGTATTTTAGTGACAGGATCAAAATACAATAATGAAGTTTAGTACAAAATGACCTGCCTTTTAGGCAGTGTATTATTAAGCCATACATTATCCTCTAGCAAAACCGGCTATTAGAATGGCCTTTTTTCATATAGGGGGACGTTTCGGGACTCTAAAGGGCGATGAATCAATTAATTCAAAGCCGCCATCTTTGTCAGAGATTGACCTGACCGCAGACCGGACAGATGACAAATTTGGTATCATCCCGCCCTCGAATTTAATTTGGTAATATCTGATTTCGCACTTTAAATTTAGTGTTTTATGAATGATAATGGTAAATAGGTGATTTTTTTCATTGAACATAATTTTATTTCTTATTTTTATTTGAATGAGTTTTTAGTTTTTGGTATATTTTAATTTTTTATGTATTCAGTTCCTATCTGAATATGTAGTTTTACTTCAAGCAACAACAAAACATTAGATAAAATTTGCAAACATACAGTAATGTAATAAAGTGAGATAGAACGGAACCTCTGGGATACCGGGCCACCTCCCAGAATAAGTAGCCTTACCCGGACCACCGGGCGGATCTTATAAAAAGCCAATACTCGTGGGACCAACTATGGAATAACACAGAAGAAAACAACCCAAAAACCCTCTGCCATCAATGGACACTGAGGCCCAGCAAAACTCGCCTCCATCTGGTAGCGGAAAATCTGGAGGCGCATCAGTAGTAGGCTTTGAACCTTAGTGCAATGCCCAAGCCACAAATCTGTCCAGGAGAAGGGTCCCCTGAAGTCGCCATTAAAGAGGCTACTGCACCTGGCGAAGGTGTCAAACCTATTTTAGCAGAAATTCATACAGCAAGGGATACAATAAGCTAACTAGTTAAGCTGTGCTAACTAGCTGCAGTGTCACGGATTGGGAAATTTTTTCGGCCCAAGTTAGAGCCCTTATATTCGTCCCACCTAGTGACCTAGTGGGAGATCTATAATTTTTGTTTTCCTAAGAGCGCCGCTGGCGGAAATTTTGAAAATTTTCAAGGTCACTCGTTCTGGCAGCTAAGAATTAGGTGCGTACAAGGTACAAGAAAAATTTAATTCATTTCTGAAAATATTAATAATTTGGAGTGAGTAATACACCAAAGTCCAAAGTTGGCCACTGTGGCGCAGTGGAAGGGCCGATATCGGACCACTCACAAGAAACCTGAAAACCTAAACCTAACTATTGCCACACCTTAAAAAGCGAACTCAATTTGAATGAGAAAGCACGAATGTAGGATGAATTAAACAGAAATTGAGATGGAAAACTGTGAATATTCATACTTTTTCTATTCCAGGCTCTTGAATTTTCTTCATTGAGACAAATTTGAGAGCCGGGAATAGACAAAAATTGATTTGGAAAAATTGTCTTACCATGGAAATTTTTGCTAATAAAAATGGCATTTTATTTGGAAATTAATGTGCCAATTATGGAAAATTCGATACCTCGCACTACAAAACTCATTTCAAATCACTTTTCCGCACTGAAATCGAGAAATATTCGAGAAAAACCACGTACGGTAATTTTTGTTGAAAAACACAATTTTAAAATGGCCGTCCAAGGCCTACTTTGATGTTTTATTTCGAAAGGTGAAGTTAGCTGATATTACAGGGACTCAATAAACCTTTACAGTGGCGACAATAGAGGTCCCGTCGCCATATTTTTGCTACTTTTGAATATTTCATTGGTGAATATAGAAGTGAGCCAGGGCCCCCGCTGCTACATTCTTGCCAATTTTCAATATGAACATATAGGATTTCAAAAATAGGACGGCAATTGTCGCCTCTGTAGTTAATATTACAGTTTCCACTTACCATAGGAATATTTTCTATGAAAAATTGTATTTTATTTGAATAATAACGTGCCGATTATGGAGTATCACAAGAACCATTTACCGCACTGAAATCTATTGAAAATCGGAAAATATTCGAGAAAAACCACCAATGACGGCTAAAAAACACAATTTTAAAATGGCCGCCCAAGGCCTGCTTTGATATTTTTGAAACGTGAAGTTAGCTAATAAATAATTTTCACTTTACTTATGGTTTACCTTCAGACAACCGGGTTATCATAAAACTGTTCTGTGTGTAATTTGTGGATTTTTGAGGGGATTTTCTATTGCTCGAAAAGGATAATTTACGTATTTTTGTAGTGTATAAACAAGAAAACAAACACATCACAGATGTTTGACTTATTGCCGCCATATTGAATTTATGTTTTAACAGGTCATTGGATTGCAGGGGTCATACACACTACTAAAAGATTGCTTATCGCAAGGTTCCTAAAGTTAATAGATTGCCTGGTAATGACGCATCTGGGGTGCCCTATGGAGATTTGCATTATGTTGAGGCACCCCAGATGACGTCATAAAGTCGTCAGGCAACTTACTTCTCCCGAACAACCTTGGCTTATCGGCCTGGTTTTTGGTAATCGCCGCCATTTTGGTGTGTCACCATTTCAGACGTCATTAACAAGTCGTCAGCGGTTTGCACTAGAGGTCGTAGTTTAGAATTTAAATTTACTATGAAAAATAATATTTAATTTTGATTAACATAATAGGCAAAGAGGAAGATGAAAACGAGATTTAAAAAAGAGTTGTTTTAGAATGGTAATTAATGTAGTAAAGCCAAGTATGCATAAAGCAAAAGCCCGCGTAATCATAACGTGTCGTGCAAACAGCCTACGTCAAGGCGAAAAAGGACATGCTGCCTACATCACAACTGGTGATTTGGCGTGGTGGGGAGCTTCAGATTTGTTCCACACAGGTCTTATGAGAATAGGCTATCCTGTAGTAGTAGTGTGTATTATCCTTGGATGGTTTCACTTTGAAATGGCCCTCCAAATCGTACTTTGATGTTTTCGAAACGTGAAGTTAGCTAACGGAAAATTTTCAGTTTTCTTAATGAAAAATCAGATTTTCTTTAAAAATTACCAAAAATTCAATTCCTTGCACCACAAAAAAACGTTATTTTTCGTATAAAACTACCAAAATGCAATAGGGCAATCCAACGACTTGTCAAAACACAAATTTAATATGGCGGCAACGGTCAAACATCTGTGATATGTTTGTCTTTTGTGTTTTATACACTACGAAACTACAAAAATTATCCTTCTCAAGCAATAGACCAGTTTTATGATAACAAAACGTCACGGTCGTCTGAAGGTAAATGAAATCCTTCATTGTTTGACCATGGCCGCCCTACGGATTGGATTTCCCAAAAAGCCTACTTTGATTGTTTTGGAAACGTGAAGTTATTAGGTCTGCTTCTGCAGAAATCACAAACCAGTCAGAGCGAATTTCATTGGTTGAAAACAGCCAGAAAACTAGTTTCAACCAATGAAATTCACTTTGACTTTGACTGGTTTGTGATTTCTGCAGAAACAGACCTAATTTCTATGAAAAATTATACAAAATCCACTTGTTTTGCACTAAAAATTTGGAAAATCATACTTCTGACAGCAGAACCGATACGACTGCCATCTATGAGGAAAAACATGAAACCCAAAACGGATATGGATCTCTATTTGAATTATGTTTTAGTGTGGAAAGTGCGAATTTTCCGCACGCGATTGCAGATGGTAGAGAAAAGAGACTTTCCGTACGAGTTAGGACAGGAAAGTTATTATTGTTATAAAAAATGCGGTACTGTATGTAGTGCGGGAAAAGTAATCGGTACCTACTTTCATAATATGACCTAAAATGCATTCGAAATAATAATAGGAAATGACTCAAATTCAAAAATACAGATAAAATTATGCTTTTATGAAGTTTCTATGTCGGACAGGGCCGGAATAAGACATTTTTTCGGCCCGAGTTGGAGTTTTTATATCGGCCTACCCAGTTGGAGTTTTATTATTAGCCCTTTCCTAATAGCCCCGTAGGCGGATATTCTTAAAATTTTCAAAGTCACAAGTCACGCGTTCTCCGGGCACCTTAGAAATAAATCCATTTATGCAAAAATATAGACTTTCTCAAGGAAAATTTAATTCATCTCTCAAAATATTAATAATGTGGAGTGAGTAGTATACCCACACCGAAGTCCGAAGTGACCGGCCCACCGAGTTTTACTCGATAACTCGCCAGCCCAATCCGGACCTGCTACCGTTGATCAAATCAAATCAATTAATCAATCAAGATAGAAAAACATGTAAATACAAAGTAAATAGGGATTGGATACGAGAACCGCTACAAAATAAAACTTTTACACCCTGTATATTTCCTAATTTGTCATAGGGTTTCCTCGGATATTCTCAAAGTTCTGTAAAAAGCTTGGGCCCACTGAAAGGTAAAAATATTTAAGGCAATTTCAAGATAATTTTGAAATATTAGTGCCAAACATAAACAATTAATGAAACTTCCACCTAAGTAGCCCTATATTTTTGATATTGTGAAAGTATGTACCATTATTTTAAGTAGGTACACTACCTACATTATTAAATTTAAATTTTAGCACTTTTACATTATTATTATCAAATTGCAACAATAGAGAGCTATCGTCGAAATCATCACACCTAGAAACGAATTATTGCTAAAACAAAAAACCGTTATGTATTTTTTACCATCAATATTACGGAATTTGTGTATATCCAATACAACAGTAAATAATTATCAAAATTGGGTGCTAATTCAGTTTTCTGTCTATTACTGTTAGTTTCAAGTAAATAGTATATTGTTTTTCATTAGGTACCTACTCCAATCCTGATAAAAAAGGGAGCTAGAGTAGATTTTAGGTACCTAATAAATAAATCATGAGAGATAATATTATATGAGCTTATCAGAATATTATCAGTAAAATATAAAATAGATTAGGATAAGGTGTACCGCATTTTTACCGGTTGCATTAAAAAAATTTAGGTAGCAGTGATGAACATGACGAAAGTGATACTTTTTTGGTTGTTTTGTGCAATTTTATTGATTTCTGTCGTAGTAATTTATGGACAACAAAATGAAAATTTAAAGCAAAACGTGTAAGTACCTACATAATCAGTATTGGTAAATATTTACTTTGATTTTAAACAATCAATAATGTAGGTATGTACCTATATATAACAAAAATTATTTAAAAATTCTAGATCCAAAAATCCTCCACTGCATGGATGGACATGCGAAAACAACAAATGCCACAAATCAATAGACGCAAATGCAACGTCATTAGGAACCTGCAAGATGCTTTGTTATGACTCTCCGCCATTATGGCCCAAACCGAAGCAACTTGAAATTATTAATAAAAATTCCACCCTTTTCCAAAAAGAACATATTGTATTGACAATCCATTCACCTAATGAAGTTAAAAGTGAATTAGAAGAAGCTGCTAATACATTTCTTGAATCGTTACCGAAAAATTCAACCAAGTATCATTTATATGAAGGAGAAGTTCAAATATTGAAATTAAATATTCATGTTAAAGAAAGGAATATTGAACTGTCAACATCCACCAAGGAAAGTTATACATTATTTTGCCAAAAACTCCCTGAAGCAATTTTAGTTAATATTTTTGCTAGTAATTATTTTGGAGCCAGACATGGTCTGGAAACTCTCAGTCAACTTATCTGGCACGATACTTTAACAAACAAGTTGAGAATATTACATGATATTAAAATTACTGACGAGCCAAGCTTTAATCATCGAGGAGTCCTTATAGATGTTTCCAGACATTTCTTTTCCATAGACATTCTTAAGAAAGCTGTAGACGGAATGGCTGCATCAAAACTCAACGTATTACATCTTCATCTGTCTGATGCAGCAAGTTTTCCTCTACAACTACCAAACTCCAAAATAAGTTCGAATGGTGCTTACGATGAAAACTCCATATATACACCAGAAGATATAAAACATTTAGTACAATATGCCAAAAAACGTGGCATTAGAACGATATTGGAAATTGATGCCCCTAGTCATGTTTCACCAGAAGCCTGGCCAAAAGATGAAGTTTTATGTGCTGATCCTGATATGTTTAGAGCCACATTAAATCCGGACAATCCAGAAACTTTAAATACTCTACAAAGTGTTTATGAAAATTTATTCGAATTGGGCACTGACCCTGAAACTTTTCATATAGGCGATGACGAAGTTGTGACTGAATGTTGGTCAAATACAGTTTCAGCTCAAAAAGAAGACAATAATGTTTACAATGTTTGGAGCAAATTCACCAATGCGATGATGGAAAGAGTTAAAATTGCCAATAACAATACCCTTCCTAAAAACATTGTGCTTTGGTCCAGCCCTTTAACTGACAATTACATAAAGTCACTTTCTTACCAAAAAGATTTGGTTGTTCAGTATTGGTTTGGACAGTTTGGGCATATTTTGGACAACGGATACAAAATAATATTTTCAACCGTAGGTCAATGGTACTTGGACTGCGGATTTGGGCCTTGGAAAAAAATCGACCAATACGGATCTTGCGACCCATACACCGACTGGAAAAAGTTTTACCATTACCGGCCCTGGAAAGATTATCCACAAAGATTAAGTCAAGTTTTGGGCGGCGAAGTTTGTTTGTGGAGCGAACAAGTTAGTCCAGATGATGTGGAAACGCGACTATGGCCCAGGACAGCAGCTTTTGCTGAACGTGTATGGAGCGATCCAGATATCATTGATATAGATGATGTAGCTAGAAGAATTGATTTTCATTCTGAAAGGTTGAAGGAGAGAGGTTTTAGAGTTGCTGCTATTTGGCCTCAGATTTGTTGGTTGTATCCTGAAAGATGTTAAAGAATAAATATATATTTTTCATACAGCTTTAATATTTTAGCAAGCTGGACCAGGATTGGTTCAAATAGTAAAACCGCATTTAATCCTAACAATTGAACAATGTTACCAACGCCTGGGGCGTTAGCTTTATAAGTATAGGGTAAGGTTAGCCTGCTGGGGATTTTAATCCGCCATTGGCGTAGAAATGAAAAAAGTCATTCAATCAATAATGTTTGCCAAAAAAAATTACCAGCATATTCAAAGCCTTGTTAAATATAATAATTTTCAAATTTTTAAATATAGATTATTATGTATGAAGTAATTATGCCTCCGGTTGTTGACATAAAAATCAGTCCACTGCACTTCAAATTTTAATTTTTCCTACGGAGTGTCTACCCTGAGGCAAGTGGGGGTTAAAAAATAACACAGGGGTTGTGATTTTCGAGTATCGAGTTTAGTTTGGGATTATCTTCTGAATAGATACGCCCGCCAGTCCGATGATAGACAATTCAATGGTTTTTATGTGCAGGGTGAATAAAATTGATAGTATAGTATGTTCGAGCCGAAAAGTGAAATATATTTTATTTTTTTGGATATCCGTTTAGGTTTTTAATGTTATTCTGACTTCATTCATGTTACTTTCAATAAGTTAAGATTTTTATTGTGAAGGGTGTTCCAATAAGAGTTTCAGGATGTTTTTTTCAATTCAAACGAGAAGCAAACTAGGAAACATTCAATACTTTATAGCAATAAGTAACATAATCGTTGATTATGTTACTTATTGCTTATGTTTTCGATCAAATTTGTGCACATTTCCGGTGGTATCTTACGATTCACGAATAATGCGCCGGATCTCATCTTTCAGCTTTTGAATTGTTTGGAGATTGTTCACATACGCTTCACTTTTACAACAAGATGGCGCAACATGTCACATAGCAAGGGAAACCAATGACTTACTGCAAACACGGTTTGAAGTTAAACTTCTTTCAAGAAATGGGGATGTTAATTGGCCGCCTAGATCTCGCGATCTAAAGCCACTAGACTTTTTTTTGTGGGGTTACCTCAAAAGTAAAGCGTTTGTGAACAATCCCCGAACAATTCAACGGTTGAGAAATGAGATTTGGCGCATTATTCCTGAGATATCACCGAAAATGTGCACAGAGTATTAAATATTTCCTGGTTTGCTTTTCGTTTGAATTGAAAAAAACATCCGGAAACTCTTATTGGAACACCCTATATATCTTTTTTCAGTATATGCAGCTCAGCAGCCCTCATCTAATAATATGTAGCTTAGTTCAAACTTTTGAAACACTTACGCCCTGCTTCACAATGTCTGATGACCTTCTTTTGGAGCCGAATATATGAGAGACTGTTCAATGTACAATGAAGTTCAATTTTGCTTGGACAGGGAGCTTCAGCCTATGTCCTTCTGATGAGTCCTAACAAGGACGAAACGCGTCAAGGATTGGCACGGGAAGCCTGAGTCCACTGCTCAGTGGGTCGATTCCCAAACAGGGACCGTTGCGTCCCTGAATTCACGTTGGTCATTACCTGTAGAAACTTTCTAACAATTTTCATTGCCAACGAAAGCTCAGACCAATCAGTGTAGTTCAACGCCGGTAGGGGTATTTGCCCTCGGAGTAGTTGTTTCTGACTGGTCAACGAAGTTCAATTTTGCTTGGACAAGGAGCTTCAGCCTATGTCCTTCTGATGAGTCCTAACAAGGACGAAACGCGTCAAGGATTGGCACGGGAAGCCTGAGTCCACTGCTCAGTGGGTCGATTCCCAAACAGGGACCGTTGCGTCCCTGAATTCACGTTGGTCATTACCTGTAAAAACTTTCTAACAATTTTCATTGCCAACGAAAGCTCAGACCAATCAGTGTAGTTCAACGCCGGTAGGGGTATTTGCCCTCGGAGTAGTTGTTTCTGACTGTTCAACGAAGTTCCGAATTGTGTGTTTTGGAGTTACTCCGAGGAGCTCTAGAGCGACAGGTTCGGTGTAACTCAATGTATAAAAGGAATACAGTATTATGATGTATCCTGTCCTGTTATTTTTAGTTGATTTATAGCTCAAAGTCTATACCTGTCTCTATTTTTACGTGTAGATAAGTGACAGATAACTTAACGTTGCTGTTAAAATAACAGAAAATTATAAATCATAGGCCTGGGAGGCTTTATTTGAAATTGATGCAACTTTGCGTACACGCACAAATGACGTCATTCGTAATTGAAAATTGGTGCACTACGGCTTATTTGACATGCACTTTTTCATTCGCATTTGACGTCATTTGCGTCATTTGCGTCATTTTTGCGTGTGCGCCAAGTTGCATCAATTTTAAATAAACCCCCCCAGGATAGCGGTAATTTTAACGCACCTAATTATGAAATATTGCGTCATGTGAAAACATAAAATATTTTGTAAAAATATAAAATATTCGCCCACCGTTATATACGCCACTGCCAACAGAGTTCTGATGGGAGGGGTAGGCAATGTCATATCCTGAAGCTATTCAGGATAGAGGCATGGAAAGTATCCAATAAAACAAGACTAGATCCAGTTACAAACTTGTATATTTCACAGGCTGACAAGGCTGGGCTGAAAGCCAGGTTATGTTCTAGATGGCAAGACAATTCTTGGCGGGATCATTGTGCGGCGATAGCAACATGCTACGCAGTGTTGCCAACTATAACTATATTATAACACAGGCAATGAACTGGGGTAGGCGGTATCGCGAAAGTCCCGCTACTGTAGAGGTGGGAAACTATCGAAGAATCTAACTATCGATAGTAACAAATAAAAACTATCGATGTATCGATATAACTATCGATAAAAAAAGGGTTTACGCTTTGGACCCATTTTGTTTTTGGGGTTTCAGCAATTAGCGGGTCAAGGCAAGTCAAAATGTTAATGTTAATGAACTCCAACAGCAGTGTGTACATGAAGGTTTGAGATGAAGGCTCTAACCCTACGGCCTACGCCCTACAATACAAACACAACGAGACCTAGAGAAAAAAATACCCAAATGAAAGTTAATATTGTGAATAACAATGTTTAATTACACACGTTCTTTTTTCATCGAACTGGGGAGTGAAGAAAAGAAATAAACACCGCTATGAAGTGAAATACAGTGTAGTTGAGTTGTGTAGGTTGTTGTTGTTAACTGATGATAACAGGAAACATAACTAATCTGCATCTTTTTTAATTTTGATTTCAACTAGCATACCATCAAAACCAAAATAAAAAACATCAAGGTTGTTTGAGAGATGGTAGGTTTCCTGATAACTTTTATGACGTCATCTGGGGTGCCTCAACATAATTCCAAATCTCCATAAGGCACCCCAGACTAGATGACGTCATCAAGTTACCCATTACCAGACAACCTATTAACTTTAGGAGCCATAGGGCCGGTTTCTCAATAGCAGGTCACCCCCGGGTTAAGCATAACTCCAGGGTAAACATAGCAACTGGACACGCTTACCCGGGAGTTAAAACCAACCCGGAGGTGACCCGCTATTGAGAAACCGGCCCATAAATGATGAAATGTATGATATTTCTTGACACTTGACATTGCTGACATAAGAAAAGACAGGAGAACTGCTATCGATTGTCCAAGTAGAACTATCGATAGTTCGATAGTGTAGCAAACTATCGATATATCGATAATTCCTATCCATAGTTTCCCACCTCTACGCTACTGGCATATACATATTTACATTATATGTGTTCTTTGTCTGCATGCAGAAATATTCACCTGCGAGACTTTTGCACGAGACACGAGACTCTCGCACGAGACTCGAGACGAGACCAATAAAAGTCTCGTCTCGTCTTGTCCGAGACAGTCCGAGTCTCGTCTCGAGTCTCGTCTCGAAAACAAGACGAAACCATGCGAGACTCTCGAAAACGAGACTCTCGTGGGAATCACTAGTTGTACAATCTACCTGAGTTATTTGGAATGAAAGACTATTGTGTTGCAATATCAGAAGAATAAGTGACAATGTTTAAGGCACAGGCTACATTTTTAGAAGGAAACGTTTGTCGTGATAGAAATGTTTACAATTTATGTAATATTTTGATGATATAAAAATCTAAGATAGGAATGTAAAATCGCTTTTCGTCTAAAATTAACCGTTTAGGTTTTACAGCCTGTCAAAGTGGCAAAAAGTTAATTTTCAACTGTCAATATTTCCAAAACAGTTGAACTTAGGTATAGGATATATCACATGAAATCTGCTCAGAATTTTACGTAGAGCTTAAATATGCAATCAAATACAGGAAGTTCCATTTGAAATATCAAAGTTCTGTCGCATACCCCCTAAATGAAGCACCCTGTATATTCAGATATATTTTTAACTAATGCATATTAGAGTATAAAACAACTTTGTAATTTAATGTGTTTTTCTTGCATCACCCTGTAAGGAGATATCATCCGATATCGCACTAAGTGGACACCCTGTATATATGGCAGGTAGGAATTACATCATCCGTTTTTTCTAAAAAAAAAAAAAATCCCAATATGTAGGTAGGTATTTTTCAAGTGCATAATTTATTTCTAACATACCTTCGCAATCTAGAAGATACTCGAAATCTGACAGTGCGTCTTTAAATCTGACAGTGCAAGATTAAATCTGACAGTGCGTCTTTAAATCTAGCAGTGCGAGAATAAATCTCGCAGTGCGTCTTTAAATCTAGCAGTGCGTATTTGAATCTGGCAGTGCGAGATTTAATACAATAAAACATAGTCATGTCCCTTCTGAGCCATCGTAGTTTGGTAAAGTAATATTACTAATTCCTGATGAAAGGCAAATTGACAAAAAGCGAATAATCTTAGAAAGTTTGCCTTTTTATATTAAGTTATTGTTCAAGTACAAATAAGTGGATTATTGCGGAACTTATGGGTGGACGAGCGCAGCGAGTTCCGCAGCCATCCATTTACCAATATACTATTGAACTATTCAAATAAGACACTCACCTGAAACGTGTAGTTTTTGAACTAATGAGAATAACTGACATTTGAGTGAGTCAGGTTAGTATCGTACTTGAATAACATATTAGTGAATAGATGGCTGCGGAACTCGCTGCGCTCGTCCCGCAGAGGTCCACCCATAAGTTCCGCAACAATCCACTCGTTTGTACTTGAATAACTTGTAACATTATGTTACTAGTTTGGTGAAGTAGGTAACACTACTAATTCCTGTTAAAAAGCAAATTGATAAAAAGTGGATAATCTCACAAATTCTGACTTTACATAGTAAGTTATTGTTCAAGTACAGGGTGTTTTCTTATACATTGGAATGTCAGAAATGTGAAATGTTGCATGCTTTCAGATTTTTTCAAATGGCACGCCCTATATCTGGTTTTATATTCTTGAAGAGCACAATTTCCCGATTCCAATACTATATAGTTTGTCTATATTTGGTTGAGCCGTCTCCAACATATTTGGTTCTAAACATTTTAAAAATACTATCAGAGAAACCAAGTACCTCAAATTTTACTTGCAGCTTTCACTTGTACAGGTGTGAATTCCGTAGCCATCTACTCACCAATATACTGTTGAACTCTTCAAGTAAGACATTCATCTAAATGTAGTTTTTGAATTAATGAGAAAAACTCACAACTGAGAGAATCAAGTTAGTATGTACTTGAACGCTATATAACTGAGCGTCTGTGGGGACCTTTATTAAATCCATATTCAGTTTGAACACAAACAGAAAAATTATACGATACAGAAAAAAAACCCATCAACAAGACAAGACTTGACAAGACGTTAACCAAAATTGTGGTTTCTAGTTTAATTTTAACCACATAATTTTCTAATGGTTAATGAAACTTAAAGTTAATTAAAAGATGGTTCTTGACTAGATGAGTGAAACACTTTGTTTATTAACCTTTGGTCTTCGTTTAACCATTTGGTGACTACACATTGTGAAACTGGGGGTTATAAATCTACAAAACATCCATAACCACTATGTAGAATTCATTTTTTCTCACTGATAGTTTTTTTTTGTATCAATGATAAATGCTGCATTTTGGTCCACCTGCCATTCAAAACATAAATTTATAATATAAACCGCAACAAATTTTCTACACATAAGTATGATAAAGGGGATGAGGCGGTGTATTTACAAGCTGCACAATTATTTATCCTTCCAGCATAAAGCACAGGAAGCTTTTTATTGTGGTCGGTTAAGGTTAATCTCTCAAACCTCTTAATAAGTTTTCGGGGTTTTGCATGTCGGCAAACAACAAGTAGATTTCTCGCCTAAATAACTTTTTAAGGAGCCACCTTCAAAAGTACCGATAAAGCGATAAAACTCTATAGAATTCTGCACCCATCAGAAATAACTAAAAATTTAATTTTTTTTTGGCGGGATTTGTAACTACAGGTGGTCCTCTAAAAGGTATAGATTGTTTTGCAAAAATATAATACCTCTTCAAACGCTGTAGCAACTTTAAAACAATAACGCCCTTAAAAAATATAACATCTAAAGGGTTAATTGTAATAAGGCAATACTTGTACCCCCCTTAGGATGTTGTTTTGTTTCGAGGCAACAAAGCAGAAATTTTATGTCGCAAGTAGGACTGAGTTTTCAAATAAAAAAATCTTGAATGGTTAATATTTTAGAGTACTGTTATTACTGCCTTCTTAATTTTGTGTTCTAAGAACTTACAAGGAGGTTTTTTTGATAGTCCGAGTACTCTGCAAAGATTTTGTGCTTTTGTAAGTTTAATGTGGTTTGTCTCAAGAGGATTTTTTTAGTGTAGGTACTTGGGATGTTTGAATATTTTTATTTTTTCTGACTAAGCAAATATGTAACGATAATTTGTTATAATCCTTATAATCTTATTATAAATATTTATATCAGAAAAAACAACGCAAACTTTTTGATGAAGGTGAGGTGAAGTCGCGTTAATTTTATCATTCCGATTTGATACCTTTGAAAATAAGTAGAGACGAGAGTCATATGTAATTTTTATGCTGTCATAATTATTAATAATAATCAATCGTTAGCATGAGTCCATTTTTTCTGATTTGAAGGTTGTATCCATATTTTGTTAATTTTGTAAATTGCATTTAGTGAGAACTCTATGTGAAGATGTTGCTATTCAATAAAAGGAAAACAATACTAATTTCTCACTTGTCAACTGACATTGTTTATTAAATTACCAAAAAAAATAAAACTTTCCCTTATTATATCGATTAATTTCCATAGCCAGTGATTTTGACTCTATAGAAATCCATTTACTCAAGCTTAGATCACCCCAGATTATCCAACGCCTACAACCAGCCTTCCTTTTTAGTCGTAGAACTTTTAGGCATCGTAGTAGTATTCAAAACAAATGGAACGAACCAGGGAAGAGTCGATGTGGTTCGAGTAATCAAGTCAGTTTTAGCGGTTTTGGCTCGACGTATAGTGATCATTGACGGAGCTACAGTTTCTGTACGAGCTTGAGTTTTTTCAGCAGTAGTTTCTGGAGGAATTGTGACTTCACGCATAGTCTTCGCTTCAGAAATAGTGACCTCTGATGGAGCTATAGTTTCTGTACGAGCTTGAGTTTCTTCAGCAGTAGTTTCTAGAGGAGTTGTGGCTTCGAGCATAGTCTTTGCTTCAGAAATAGTGGTCTCTGACGGAGCTACAATTTCTATAAGAGCTTGAGTTTTTTCAGCAGTAGTTTCTGAAGGAGTTGTGACTTCACGCATAGTCATCGCTTCAGAAATAGTGGTATCTGGCAGAGCTACAGTTTCTGTTTTAAGTCTTCCCATACGAGCTTGAGGTTTTTTAGCAGTCGTTTCTGGAGGAGTTGTGGCTTCATGTAGAAATTTTGTTTCGGAAATAGTTATCTCTGACTGAGCTACAGAGTACCTGTCTGAACGATCTTCAGCTTCTCTACCAGTAGTTTCTGGAGGAGCTCGATATTCAGTAATATTATCTCCTTGATAGGAGGTTAAACCAAAATCATAATACATCTCATTCTCATTACCAGTACCATGTTTCCAAGTTCTTGCCGTTATTGGCTGATGTGAGCATAAAGATGTCCTGATTATTGCAATCGCAAGATTGGCTATTGAAAATGCCAAACATTTAAATAGTAGCCATACAATGATCCAAAAAATTAGGAAGGATAAAGTGTCGAGTCTACCGAAAAAACTGCCAGTAAAAAGTTTCTGATCCAACGGTCCATGTCGCTTTCCTTTTCTCTCATCGTCTTGGTACGAAGTATCAGCGGATATTTGTTTCGCGTACAGTGGATCCAGAGGAGCGACTGTTAGTCTTTGAATGCGGGACATTTTTTTAACGGTTTTTTGATTGAAAATTCAGTGGATTGAAAAGTGATGCTCTAACTGACGTTGTCAGGTTATACTTACTGGTATTATTAGTCCATTAGACATGGTAAACGAGCGAAAAAAGTAAGAATGACCAAGGTTATCTAACGAATTAGACTATCCAAAACACGTGGTACAAATATGGCCGACAAGAGGCACACAAACATTTGACACAAACACAAACCATAACGTCATTAGGTTATGTCATTAATGATCATAATCAAATACTCATTTTCTATTGTGTGCGTCTCAATTTTTGGCCGTTTCTACCCAATTACGGAATCCCTATTGTTTGGGCAAGATTGCTCTACCTTCATTTCACTTGGACACCTAGGACCTAGTGTTGTGCTATCCATTATTAATTATTTTCTCACCGGAAGTTTTCCCTCATTTTTGAAGCAATCTTGGGTAGTACCTTTGTTTAATAGGGGGGGTGATAAGAATTTACCATCTGATTACCGGCCAATATCCTTACTGCCAACTTTGACTAAAATTTTAGAGTGGCTAATTAAGGTGGATGGTGAACTTCCTTGATAGACATAAATTGCTTTCTCTGTCTCTGTTTCAGCAGTCAAAAAACACTGATGATGCCATATTTCATCTCCTGGATGAGCTGTATTAGAAGATAAATGACGAAGAAGTGGCCGCGGTAGTTTTTTGTGACCTGAAAAAAACTTTCGATTGTATCTAGGGGTTCAGTACTTCAGAGGGGTTGGATATCACTGCAGGTGTGCCCTAGGGATCTGTTTTATTTCTAACATTAATGAAAATACGAGTAAAAACAACGAGTATCAAAACGCAAATGAACAATGAGCACTATTTTTTTGAAAAAATTTCATGACACATTGAATGACAAATAAAAAAAGGGTTTGTGTGCCTCTTGGCGGCCATTTTAATTCAAGTTTGACAGCATCTTGGATAGTTCAATAAGGGCTATTTAATAAAAGAAAAACAATACTAATTCCTCACATGTCAACTGACATTGTTTAATAAATTATCAAAAAATAAAAAACTTTCCTTTATTATATTGATTAATTTCCATAGCCAGTGATTTTGGCACTATATATAGAAATCCTTTTACTCAAGCTTAGATCACCCCAGATTATCCAAAGCCCCCAACCAGCCCTTTTTAGCCGTTGAACTTTCATGCATCGTAGTGGTATTCAAGGCAAATGGAACGAACCAGGGAAGACTCGATGTCCAAGGTGTGGTTTGACTAATCAAGTCAGTTTTAGTGGTTGTGGCTTCAAGCATCGTGATCTCTGACGAAGCTACAGTTTCTGTACGAATTTGAATTTCTTCAACAAGAGTTGTGGCTTTACGCATAGTCTTTGCTTCAGAAATAGTGGTCTCTGACGGAGCTACAGTTTCTATACGAGCTTGACTTTCTTCAGCAGTAGTTTTTGGAGGAGTTGTGGCTTCATGTAGAAAATTTGTTTCGGAAATAGTTATCTCTGACAGAGCTACAGAGTACCTTTCTGTACGACCTTCATATTCTCCAGCAGTAATTTCTGGAGGAGCTTGAGATTCAGTAATATTATCTCCTTGATAGGAAGTTAAACCAAAATCATAATACATCTCATTACCAGTATCGTTTTTCCAAGTTCTTGCCGTTATTGGCTGATTTGAGCATAAAGATGTCCTGATCATTGCAATCGCAAGATTAGCTATTGAAAATGCCAAACATTTAAATAGTAGCCATACAATGATCCAAAAAATTAGGAAGGATAAAGTGTCGAGTCTACCGAAAAAACTGCCAGTAGAAAGTTTCTGATCCAACGGTCCATGTCGCTTTCCTTTTCTGTCTTGGTCCGAAGTATCAGCGGATATTTGTTTTGCGTACAATGGATCCAGAGGAGCGACTGTTAATCTTTGAATGCGGGACATTTTTTTAACGGTTTTTTGATTGAAAATTCAGTGGATTGAAAGCTGATGCTCGAACTGACGTTGTCAGAGGTTGTTGTAATATTTAGATATTATGGGTGGCGCTGTTGGTCAATGTTTATTTTAAATAAGGAGTCTGTGGCAACATTGTCAGTCGTTGACATCGTTGATAGATGATTATTATTAGAATCGTTGTATAGGTATTTACGTTTTGTAATTAATTTAATAAATTTATAATTAGAGTTTAAAAACAAGTGTTTCATTTCATAAATAAAACATGGCGCAGTCTATTAAGGCTTAAAATTTAGAAAAAGCTTGAATTTGTAGTAAAAAATTTATCGAACCGGAATTTTTACAAGTGGAAGTACTTACGGACTTAAATGTTCCAATTTTTATTGTAAAATCAAGAATTTTGTAAAATGGATGTCCGATCACCAACTGAATTAATATTGGAAGGAAATTTATCCGAAAACTTTAGGAGATTTAAGCAAAATTTTGAGATTTTTCTAGTTGCTTCTGGAAAAGTTAAGAAACCAGATAATGTGAGGATAGCTATTTTGCTGAATTGTATTGGTGAGGATGTTGTTGACATATTCAATAACTTTCAATTTGAAGCTGACGACAGAAATAGTTATGCAAAAGTAATGAAAGCATTTGAAGACTATGCAAATCCGAAAAAGAATTTAGTGTACGAAAGGTGCAAAAGTAGAAAACAGGAAGTCTCAGAAACTTTTGACCATTTTGTTACCGATCTAAAAAAACTGTCAACATCCTGTGAGTTTGAAGATCAAAGGAAGTCTCTTATTGGAGATAGAATAGTATTAGGAATCAGAGTTAAGAAGATGCAGGAGAGGTTGTTATAGAAAGAAAATCTTAATTTAACAGTGGCGGAGAATGAGTGTAGGGCAGCAGAAATTACTAAATCTAAAGTGCAAGAGTTACAGAATGAACAAGTTTTTGAAGTAAAGAAATAGGGTGCAAGTAAATTCCAAGGCAGGTTTCAGAAAAATGGAGATAGCAGCTCAAATATGAAACCTGAAAATGTAAGCAAGTTTGACTGTTATCGCTGTGCTACAACTCATGGTTCCAGACAGTGCCCAGCTTTTGGGAAAAAATACTTAAAATGTGGAACACTAAATCATTTTTCAAAATGCTGCAAGGTAAGTAAAGTGAAAGAAATACAAAGAGATGGTGATGAGAGTGAGGAAATAGAGGATTTTACAATAGAAAGTATCGAAGTAAGTAATGTACTAAATGTAGAAAGTTTGGGTGCTTGGTTTGAACTTATAAATGTAAATCGGTTTGACATTAAATTTAAAATAGATACAGGATCTGAGGTCAACATTTTGCCGATAAGTTTATATAAAAAGTATTTTGAAAAAGAGCAATCAAAAGTTGGTACTGTTATTTTAAAAGCTTTTGGTGGATCTAAAATTAGGTCTGTAGGGAATGTTCATTTAAAATGTAAAGTTGGACATCAAAATAACCAAACATTAAATTTCATTGTTGTGGATATTGAAGTAGGCCCACTATTAGGTTTAAAGGGTTCAACAATCTTAACAAATGTTACTGAAATAAGTAGTGATCAGACTTATGAGCTAGAAAAACAAAAATTTATCCAACAAAATGAGTTTAATTTTAGAGGATTAGGAAAATTTCAGCAGAAATGTAAATTAATTTTGAAAACCATTACAGTCCTGTAGTCAAACCACCTAGAAGAGTACCATTGGGTATTAGGGACAAATTTAAAGAAAAGATAAATGAATTAGAAAAATTAGAAATCATAAGTAAAAATATGGAGCCAGGGGAGTAGGTCAATAATTTGGTAATTATGGAAAACGCAGATAAATCTCTTAGATTAAATCCACAAGATTTGAACAAGGCAATTCGGAGAGATTTTTAGGCCATCCCCACTGTAGAGGAAATTTCAGCCAAGTTAGCTGGTAAAAAATATTTTAGTGTCTTTGACCTTAAAGAGGGGTATTACCAAATTGAATTGGATGAAGCGTCAAAAAATTTAACGACTTTAAGCACTATTTTTGGGTGTTATAGATTTAACAGGTTACCGATGGGGGTTGCTAACGCTCCAGAATTTTTTCAATATGTTGTTGAAGAAAATTTTGCAGATGTCCCAGCTTTAATAGTCTATTTTGACGATATTTTATTGACCTCAGATGATTAAAAATCTCACGAGGAAGCACTTAAAATTTTAATGCAAAAAGCAAAAATTAACTCTTTTTCATCCGTAACGATTTACGACTATCGACAATTTGTCAACATGTTTAAAAACGAGTTAAACACCAACAAAAGGCATCAATAAGTCAAAGTTAATACGGGGGCAGGAACTGTTTTGTTCTGGACACTCTTTCACAAAGTACCGCGCGCCATTGTGCTGGTACTTTAATCCGCATGTCCCAAAACTACCTGATGGTTCTTACTTCGCCTCAGCATCTTTTAAAAGCCATAGAGTTAACAGTTAAAACTTTTTAAAGGACAGTATACAATAATTAGTGGTGGCTTTTCTTATCTCATTTGGATTTTCGACAATAGGGCGGTTTATGTATACGTAAATCTCATTGTAGAGAGCCGCACATACAATCCGAAGACTTAAACTCTTTCTACGAAAAATAATGTTTCATTGTATATCTATTTTTGATGAAGATATTCTTTCTTTTCGATGAACAGTATTTTTGGATTCATTTTTAGTTATTTCCCAAGCCTAACAAAATCCTTCATCCTGTTTCCGACCTATAACTACGGGCATCCATAGGTGAAGCGTACTCCAAAATATAAGTGGTCTATTGAACTAAAGAATATGTAGTGTTTAGTGTTTGGTAAACCCACCGCACATGGTGCGAAACCGATTAAGGACCACTCGAAAACGCAACATACAGTCTATTTTTTTTTCCATACGATTGATTCAGGTTTCAAGGAAACGGTGAGGACCCGCATCGTTGTCTTATTATAATGATGTTTCAAATCGGATGTTCCCGTGAGAAGATTTCAATGTACCTACCTACCTGTGGGGAATTGATGTTGGATTGCATCAAAATGTTTAAATAAAACAAGCACAACAGATGTGATAACGGT